AAACTTTTCAACAAAAATAATTATCCCCTTGCACAATTACATTGTATTATGAAAATAATGTGCCAAGATTTGCCTTTAGGATGTTTACATTGCTTGTTGGTTTGTGCGGTGCAGAACAGGAACTTTGGTTGTAGTGCGTGATTTTACATTTTTTTTACTGGAACGTCAAACGGTTCTGAAACATTTGCACTGTCTTTCTATACAAATTTTTTATTTTTCCTAATTATTTCAGAATTTTTGGAGTACCAAAAGTATGGTGAATGTTCATATTACTATAGACTGTCCTGTTTAAGACAGATTCTGTTTTTGATGCATAGTTTGCTTGTTTTGATGAAACTATCAATTTCTATCAGTGGATTAAGCCATGGAAAAGTTATATTACAGTAGCTACAATGCAAAAACAAAATATGAATTGGTTTGCAACAGTACTTAGAGTAGTGATTTGCTTTATTATACTAACAGATCTTACCGAACTTTCTGTTAAGTTTTGTGTGATTGAAGTTTTCAAGTTTTGGGAGAGATCACGATGGATGAAGGAATAAGGAGTGGAAATAGCCCAAGCTTGGGGATTCCCGAGGCACCCCAAGGAAATATTCAAGGACTCCCAAGCAACCAAGCTTGGGGATGCCCCGGAAGGCATCCCCTCTTTCTTCTAACGATCATCGGTAATTTCACTTGGAGCTATATTTTTATTCGTCACATGATATGCGTAAATCTTGGAGCGTCTTTTGCATTTAGTTTTCTCTTTTCTTTGATGCACCATGCTGGTATGAGATAGTCCTTGGTTGATTTATAGAATGCTCATTGCACTTCACTTATATCTTTTGAGTATGGCTTTATAGAATGCTTCGTGTGCTTCACTTATATCTTTTGAAGTTTGTATTGCATGTTTCTCTTCACATAGAAAACCGCCATTTGTAGAATGCTCTTTTGCTTCACTTATATTTGTTAGAGCATGGGCATATCTTTTTTTAGAAAGAATTAAACTCTCTTGCTTCACTTATATCTATTTAGAGAGATGACAGAAATTGGTCATTCACATGGTTAGTCATAAAATCCTACATAAAACTTGTAGATAACTGAATATGATATGTTTGATTCCTTGCAATAGTTTTGCGATATAAAGGTGGTGATATTAGAGTCATGCTAGTGGGTAGTTGTGGATTGTAGAAATACTTGTGTTTAAGTTTGTGATTCCCGTAGCATGCATATATGGTGAACCGTTATGTAACGAAGTTGGAGCATGAGGTATTTACTGATTGTATTCCTTATGAGTGGCGGTCGGGGACAAGCGATGGTCTTTTCCTACCAATCTATCCCCCTAGGAGCATGCGTGTAGTACTTTGTTTCGATGACTAATAGATTTTTGCAATAAGTATGCGAGTTCTTTATGACTAATGTTGAGTCCATGGATTATACACACTCTCACCCTTCCGTCATTACTAGCCTCTTCGGTACCGTGCATTGCCCTTTCTCACCTTGAGAGTCGATGCAAACTTCGCCGGTGCATCCAAACCCCGTGATATGATACGCTTTATCGCACATAAGCCTCCTTATATCTTCCTCAAAATAGCCACCATACCTACCTATTATGGCATTTCCATAGCCATTCCGAGATATATTGCCATGCAAATTCCATCATCATCATATACATGACTTGAGCATTTATTGTCATATTGCTTTGCATGATCATAAGATAGCCAACATGATGTTTTCATGGCTTGTCCATTTTTTATGTCATTGCTACGCTAGATCATTGCACATCCCGGTACACCGCCGGAGGCATTCATGTAGAGTCATATCTTCATTCTAGTATCGAGTTGTGATATTGAGTTGTAAGTAAATAAAAGTGTGATGATCATCATTATTAGAACATTGTCCCATGATCAAAATAAAAGTGGCCAAAGAAGCACCCCCCCCCCAAAATATAGAGGCCAAAGAAGCCTACAAAAAAAAGAGAAGGGACAATGTTACTATCCTTTTACCACACTTGTGCTTCCGAGTAGCACCATGTTCTTCATATAGAGAGTCTCTTGAGTTATCACTTTCATATACTAGTGGGAATTTTCATTATAGAACTTGGCTTGTATATTCCAACGATGGGCTTCCTCAAATGCCCTAGGTCTTCATGAGCAAGCAAGTTGGATGCACACCCACTTATTTTCCAGTTTGAGCTTTCATACACTTATAGCTCTTAGTGCATCCGTTGCATGGCAATCCCTACTCCTCGCATTGACATCAATTGATGGGCATCTCCATAGCCCGTTGATTAGCCGCATCGATGTGAGACTTTCTCCCTTTTTTGTCTTCTCCACACAACCTCCATCATCATATTCTATTCCACCTATAGTGTTATATTCATGGCTCACGCTCATGTATTGCATGAAAGTTGAAAATGTTTGAGAACATCAAAAGTATGAAAAAAAATTCTTGGCTTGTCATCGGGGTTGTGCATGATTTGAATATTTTGTGTGGTGAAGATGGAGCATTGCCAGACCATATGATTTTGTAGGGATAACTTTCTTTGGCCATGTTATTTTAAAAAGACATGATTGCTTTATTAGTATGCTTGAAGTATTATTGTCTTAATGTCAAATGATAGACTATTGCTTTGAATCACTCGTGTCTTAATATTCATGCCATGATTAGATTACATGATCAAGATTATGTTAGGTAGCATTCCACATCAATTTTTTTTTATCATTTACCTACTTGAGGACGACCAGGAATTAAGCTTGGGGATGTTGATACATCTCCGTCGTATCTATAATTTTTTATTGTTCCATGCCAATATTCTACAACTTTCATATACATTTGGCAACTTTTTATACTATTTTGGGACTAACATATTGATCCAGTGCCCAGTGCCAGTTCCTGTTTGTTGCATGTTTTTTGTTTCGCAGAAAATCCATACCAAACGGAGTCCAAATGGGATAAAAAGCAATGGAGATTTTTTTTGGAATATATGTGATTTTTGGGAAGAAGAAACAACACGAGACGATGCTCGAGGGGGCCACGAGGCATGGGGGGTGCCTTGGGCCCTCGTGGCCACCCTGTAAGGCGGTTGGTGACCTTCTTTCGTCGCAAGAAATCTAATATCCGGATAAAAATCATGTCCAAATTTCAGGCCAATCGGAGTTACGGATCTCCGGGAATTTGAGAAATGGTGAAGGGGCAGAATCTGGAACGCAGAAACACAGAGAGACGGGTCCAATCTCGGAGGGGCTCTCGCCCCTCCGCCACCATGGAGGCCATGGACCAGAGGGGAAACCCTTCTCCCATCTAGGGAGAAGGTCAAGGAAGAATAAGAAGAAGAAGGGGGCTCTTTTCCCCTCTCTCTCTCCCGGTGGCGCCGGAACGCCGCTGGGGCCATCATCGCGACAATGATCTACACCAACAACTTCACCGCCATCATCACCAACTCTTCCCCCCCCTATGCAGCAGTGTAACCCCTCTTTTACTCGCTGTAATCTCTACTTAAACATAATGCCCAACGCTATATATTATTTCCCAATGATGTATGGCTATCCTATGATGTTTGAGTAGATCTGTTTTGTCCTATGGGTTAGTTGATGATCGTGATTGGTTTGAGTTGCATGTTTTATTATTGGTGTTGTCCTATGGTGCTCTCTGTGTCGCGCAAGCGTGAGGGATCCTCGCTGTAGGGTTTGCAATATGTTCATGATTTGCTTATGGTGGGTGGCATGAGTGATAGAAACACAGACCCGAGTAAGTGGTTGTTTGCGTATGGGAATAAAGAGGACTTGATGCCTTATAATGCTATGGTTGGGTTTTACCTTAATGATCTTTAGTAGTTGCGGATGCTTGCTAGAGTTCCAATCATAAGTGCATATGATCCAAGAATAGAAAGTATGTTAGCTTATGCCTCTCCCTTAAATAAAATTGCAATAATGATTATCGGTCTAGTTATCGATTGCCTAGGGACAAATAACTTTCTTGTGTGACAACAAGCTCTCTACTAAAACTAACTTAGTTGTGTCTTTATCTAAACAACCCCCTGCTTTTTATTTATGTGCTCTTTATTATCTTGCAAACCTGTCCAAAAACACCTACAAAGTACTTCTAGTTTCATACTTGTTCTAGGTAAAGTGAACGTTAAGCGTGCGTAGAGTTGTATCGGTGGTCGATAAAACTTGAGGGAATATTTGTTCTACCTTTAGCTCCTCGTTGGGTTTGACACTCTTACTTATCGAAAGAGGCTACAATTGATCCCATGTACTTGTGGGTTATCAGTATCTAGGTGTCTTAGGTAGGTCTTTGGTTGCGCGTGGATTCTACTCTCGCGATGGTGGCAGCGAAACAGTACCCTCCATATCTCCCATCAGAAATGCTGGTTCTCTCGACTATTAGTGTATGATATGGGGGCGGTGTCCATACTATCTCGGGTCCTTCTAATTTGGGGTGGGCGCCTTGTGTATCTTCGTGTTGATTTGTCAAGGTAATGCTTCTCTTATTTATTCCCTTTTCGGTGTTCGTGTTGCAACCAACCAAAGGTTGAAGGCCGACCATCGGGGTCATTTTTCCGGCAGCAACATGACCATGGCCTCTTTATTCTCTCCTTGGGTGCCTTCCTGACTAGACAGATTGCTCTCTGGCAGTCTGTGCTCCTTCTCCGTCATAACCGCAGTCTCTGCACAATCTTTCATTGTGGCAAAAGTTTCATTCACAAGATGGTTTGTCTATGTGATTTATGATCTACACAAGGCTTCTAGGATGGCGGCTCGTGCTAGAGATTGATATCATTTGGCTCTCTGAGTATCTAGTTATAATTTCCCTATTTTCTAGGTTGTTCTGTATAGTTGAAAATCCTTTACTCATATAAACCCAAGGCTTTGTTCACAATATACTCATGGTAAGTTGAAACTGCCATATCTTAGGAGATCACACACCTTACAAACTAAACAACTTGACCTTGAAGTAGAGCAGTCAATGATTCCCAAATAAGCTGGGATCAGGAGAACACATAGCCAACCATTGGTTCACCAGCGAAAAGGGTCATGGACACCGAGAAAGGGTACTTTAGGAGAGATCAAAACATTGCACACTCTAGGTGACTCCAACAACCCTCTAGCAGTCCATGGTTGAAATGGCGGACAATCCAATTTCTTTGCCATCTCATTCACCTCTTCTGCCAGTGCCAAAGCAATTTTTTTGTCAGGTGACACGACCAGCAATGCTCGCAGCTCCCGCGCGTTCAAGGCCACGTACTTGAGGAATGCAAACTCGTTTTGATTCCCTTGAAATTTGTGGATGAACAAGCTCCTGACGTGTAATCTCAAGCTTTCGACTGGACTGGCCACCTGCCAGAACCTAGCATGGTGCTCTCCGGTGGGTTCATGAGCGGCCACTGATGGATCATGCGGTACAGACTGCTGTTCATACCAATGAGTGCATCATTCAGTTAGATACAAAACACACTACTAATAAATGATTGTTGTAATATTACTTGATGATCAATTCATGAGGACCTCGATGTGCAGCGTCCCAACGTTGGGGAAGCATCTTAGAAAGCTGGCCAACATCTTCACCTCCCAGAAGACACCAAAGTTCACCTTCACGGCCAATATCTCAACGCTAGGAACCACGGTTCCTGGACTCGCCATTGTGTTAGGCTGCAGCACAGTGCACCAGAAGAACATGCATATTACTCTGTAACTTGTCACATAACAGTTCCATTTAAAGAGTGTTATTATAAGAGTATAGTATGCTGATGATACCCTTTTGTTCTTATAAAATGATGCCATTGTTGCTCTGAATCTGAAATGGATTCTAACTTGTTTTGAACAAATTTCGGGGATCCCAATTAACTAGCATAAGAGTGCTCTTATCCCTATTAACTTGACAGTTAATGATCTCACTCCCTTTGTGGACATTTTCCAATGCATAATTAGGGATTTCCCTATTAAGTATTTAGGAATTCCTTTGCATTTTGACAAGCTTAGCAGAGAAGATCTGCTAGCTTTGATTGATAAATTTTTAGCCAAAATAGCTGGTTGGAGAGTCAAACGTCTTTCTTATTTGAGAAAAAAAATACCCTGACTAGGTCCTGCCTAGCTAGCATCCCCTTGTATTTACTATCTTTCTTTAAATCCCTCAGTGGGCCTTGAACCTGATCAATTCACACATGGCAAATTGTTTGTGTAGTGATAGTGAAGGGGCCAACAAAATTCATCTAGCCAATTGGCCTTCCATTTGTATGAAGAGGGGATATGGGGGATGGGGTATTAAACCTCCAAGATATGAACATTTGTTTAATAGGATCCTAGGTTAAGAGATACATACCTGGTGAAGGTTCCTTATGGAAGAAGATAGTTGACAATAAGTATAATACCAGGAATCCCAGCGTCCTTTGCTATCAGGACAGCCACACTTCTGAGTTCTGGAAAAGCTTTATGTGGGCTTTGGGCTGTTAAAATTGGGTATAAATGGTATGTTGGGAGTGGCAGACAAATTAAATTGGGAAGATATTTAGCATGGAAATGCTCCTTTAGCTACAACATATTGGGATATGTATTCTTTAGTTCAAGAGAAAAATAAGACTATTGTTGATTTGTGGGATGGTGGTAATCTAAGATGTACCTGTAGGGGAACTTTTTCAAATGAGCTAATGGTGCAATGGTTCAAACTAGTTAATATTGTTAGGCTTACACCTTTTAGAGATGAGGAAGATTCGTTGATTTGGCAATATGAATCTAAAGGGATGTACTCTTCTAAACCTCTATAGTTACATCTGCAATCTCCTATGGGGGTTGTGGAACTTTAGAAACTCTATAATATTTAACAAAGTTTCATTGATTCCTCTGAAATAGGTGCTAGGCATGGTCTCCCGATATTTGAGAGACTAGACAAAACCGTTTCCGGAGCTGGAAGGAAGAGACTTAATGGATTTCCATAATCATCTCTAGGGGAGGCTAAAAGCTCCCTTTCTCTGGAGCCAGACTAGAACTTTGCAGAGAAGCAAGTGAGACAATGTCATGGAAGGGAGCGATGGGAAACTATCCATGTGGTGTTCTCACGGCTCTGCTGAGCTTCTTCACTGGCATGCGTCCCTGACCTAGGTTTTATACCCATGTAAGAGTTTGAAAGTAGAATGTTTTGTTATTCTATTTGATTTTCCTTTACCAAGATTACTACAATGTGTCCTCCTAGTTCTAGTTTCCCTCCCGTTGGTTTGACGGGGTAGGCAAAAGTCTATCAATATTTTTGGAGTGAGGTGCTTAGGCCTCCCTATGATCTTAGAGAGTTTGTAATAAATGGTACTCAAGTTGTATGGTTTCTTTCTTATGAATGGAGCGAGGGCGAGACCCCTTTTCATAAAAAAAGAATAGTTCCATTGAACCAGAGAGAGAAGGAAAGGCAAACGTACTTTGATGATGTTGTCACCGATTTGCAGCTTGTGAATTCTTGGGTCCAGGTAGCCAATGACCCGCAGCTTGGGTGCCGAGGCAATCCAGAACCTCACGCAATCGGTTCCACCATAAGGCGGCTTGAAGAAGATGATGCGCTCCAAGAGCGGGGCATCCACCACGGTGAACTCCTCCACCTTGGACAGCCCAAGGAGCAAGCACCGGAGGCTTTGGCTGCAGACATGGACACGCTCGGGCTTACCATCGAGCACGAGCCCAAGGTACTCCAGATCAAGGTAGGCAGCAAGCAAGCGGTGGATGTACTGGTTGCTTGTGTCGTTCCGTACCAAGCCGAGCTTCCGGAGATTGGGGAAGGCGTTGGCGGCGAGCGGGAGGTCATCGGGGATCTTCCAGAGGGCCAGGGAGAGGGACTGGAGCGAGCCGCAGCAGAGGATGTCAGCAGGGAGGGGCGACAAGGTGGTCTGGGGCTGGGTTTGCTTGTTCAGGAAGGAGAGGTTCTCGATGCTCTTGGTGGCGAGGAGGCGCGGCCACTCTGGGAGCTCGAGATCCAGGGAGGAGGCCGTGCAGCTGAAGAGGCTCACATTGTGGAAGGGCCCCGAGTGGTCGGCGAGGGCCCGTGCGACGGTGGCGACGCGCGTGGCCTCAGAGAGGTGGGCGTCGGCATCGCGCAGGACGAGCGGGGTGGAGCGCCAGATCTGGCGCCACTGGGAGGCGAAGGCGGCAGTGCGCGCAGCATCCGTAAAGGGAAGGCGGTTGATGATGTCACCAAGGAGGTCGTTGGGGAGGGCGCTGAAGCGGTCCTCGCCGTTGTAGCGCCGGGCGGGGTGGGAGGCGGCGTCGTCGCCCATGGTGGAGAGGTGTGTTTTGACCGGAGAGCGGATCTGCTAGTTGGGCAAACAAGTGTGAGAAGCGAGTGCCCTCAGCCCTCGGGCCCAAAAGCTTTGTAGTCTAGTGCACGCTGCTCAATAGCACACTGGCACTATCTGTCTCTGGAGTTGACTAACTAACAAAGTTTTTTTATATCTGATGAACTAATCAAACTCTAGATTAGTTGTTGGCTAGTAATCTTGGAGTCATTGAGAAAACCCTAACATAATGTTTTTTTCGAGAATACACAAATTATGTATCATATTTTTGTAGAAGAAGAAGCAAAACAGTTGATTGAAACTGACGAACACTATTGTAAAAAACTTATGAACACTTCATGTTCTCTTTCTATATACCCTTCGTATGTTTCAACTAGTAAATATTAGTGTATTGTTGTGAATTACTGGTCGCTTGGTAGTGATTGTATTATAAAGTATAGCTTTATTTTAGCAAACATGCTTTCGTTAGTCCAACGCCCACAGAAATTGCACAAGGCTTACATAGAGAAAATACAAAAGACCATCGCCCTTGATGAAGATAAGAAAAAAATCTCGAAGAGATGCGCCACGTGATGAACTGATTTCCCTCGGGATGCAACGCTATCCACTTGGCAGCACACTAAACAAATATACAAAGAAACACCGCCATTGATAAAGACGAGGCAAATCTCTTGAAGAAATGTGGCACGTGGTGAACTCGTTCGGTGGGGATGCCATGCTACCCTCTCGATAGCACACGTGACCAGTGTGCATCTTCGTCATCAACTAAGGGTACATCAAAGACAAACACCGAACCTCTGATTGATCTCACAATAGGAGAACTTGAGGTTGAAGGAACTGGATATAAGCCAAGGATAACGGTTGTGTTTATGTTTCAACATCATCCAGAGACATCCAGAGAGAATCCATTTACTAGGCAGGTCTCTCCAAAAATAGGCCAAGCATTTGCACCAACAGAAACGAACATCTGCTTCCTTCCAAGACCACATGGCGGGCCTCCAAAGTAGAGATCAAAAAAGGAAGGAAACAACTTGTCAAAATATGTTTACACAATGAACAACTTTCCTCTATTGCATGAGATGGAAAGTAAAGATTGCATAACCTTCACACCGTCCTACTCAAAACCTGCTAAGAAAATGATGAGTACATTTTGCATTAGTTTCTACCTTATTTCTTTTTGCATCTTAGTCATAGGATTTTTTGTGTTTTGCCGCGTTCACATGCCCTTTTTGTCACATTTCACCAAGATTCCAAAGAAGTAGGAGATTTGAGCATTGGTGGGAGAACATCTATTTTAGTGTAAAATACGATAATTGCACATCATAAAAGCCTTTCCATATGGAGATGATCAAGTGGGGAGAAACCAAGCCACTTCTGGTTATTTAGAAGAAAAGACAGTGCATGGTAACTTCACCCTCTCGTACCAATGGTCGTATCATACATTGCCACCTCCCCCTAGTCCGCTAATTCAACCCCGTGGGATCAGATCTCAGATGTGATGAATAGAGAGACCCCAAACCATGAAACAGACGCAGAAAACCTCACCTACAAAAGGGATAAAGAGATGGAATTAGCAGAAGGGCAACATTGTCGAAGTTAAATCCGGCAGGTCTCGGGTAGGGGGTCGCGATCTGGTAGCCTTGCCACGATGGTAACAAAGACACGGGGACACATGTATTCACCCAGGTTTGGGCCCTCTCAAAGAGGTAAAACACAACGTCTTGCTTTGCTTATATTGATGTGGACGGGGTACAAAGTAGAGATGATTGATACGTCTCCAACGTATCTACTTTTCCAAACACTTTGCTCTTGTTTTGAACTCTAATTTGCAAATGGAACTAACCTGAATTAACACTCTAATTTGCAAATGGAACTAACCCGAATTAACATTCTTAGCAGAAGTACTTTGGTGTTGTTTTTTGTGCGGAAATAAAATTTCTCAGAATTGGCTGAAAGTTGGCGGAGATTTTTTATTCAATATACAAAAAATGCTTGTCAAATATCTGCTGCAGGGGGGCCACCACCTGCCCACAAGGCAGGGGGTGCGCCGAATTGCCTTGTGGGGCCCGCCGACCTCTGTCTGACCTAATTCCAACTCCATAAGTACCGTCTTCCTGAGAAAAAATAGAGAGAAAGTTTCATTGCATCTTACGATACGGTGCCGCTGCCACCTCCTGTTCTTCAATGGGGGCCTAATCTGGAGTCCGTTCGGGGCTCCGGAGAGGGCAATTCGTCAGTGCTGTCATCATCAACCCTTCTTCATTAACAAGCTCATGATGCTCACACAGGGAGTGAGTAATTTCATCATAGGCATACTGGAGGTAGATGGAGATGGATGAGATACGTCATGTAATCGAGTCAATTTGTTAGTGCTTGATCCCTAGTATCAACTATGTACTGAGATTGATGTTAATATGCTTAATGCTTGTCACTAGGGCCTGAGTGCCTTGATTTCAGATCTAGACCTATTATGTTTTCATGAATATATTTGAGTTCTTGATCCTATCTG